CCCCCCAACCTCTCTGGACCACACAAGTCTTTCTTCAGCTTCCCGTTTCAGTCTTTTTTTTTTTTTAATCGGTGTCCACTGACTGTACAACTCTCCATGTTTTTTTTTTTGTTGTTGTTGTTTTGAAACCAACTTTGCATTTCATTATAACCTCGGGGTCCATGTTTTAGTTATATAGGACGTGTCATTATGCTGAAAATATTTGAAACTTCACCACTGGCGCCATTCTTTTTTTTTTTTTTTGGACCCTGTCTCGATTTATGCGTGTCCTCCTTGCACAGGGGCCACGCTAATCTTCTTTCTCTGTATCGTTCCAATTTTAATGGATGTCCCGAAAGACAGCTGCCATTCACGTGAAAATGCCAAAATGTCAAAATGACCTCATATCTAACAGGTGCATGAGGCCCCTAACATCATGGCGAAGTCCGCGTGAAATCTTAACCAGTGCATCAGTGGTCCTGCCGTCTTCACCTGAATAGAACGCCCGGTCATTATAGCCGTATTTGGTGCAACTTTCAGTCTAGGTACAGTGATAATGACCGGGTGTGGTATTCGGGTGGAAGACGGTAGGTGTGCAACAGTTACTTCATCTGTTAGACAAAGATTAGTTGCCCTCTGTCCTTCGGGACATCCGTTAAAATTGGAACGATACAGAGAAGATTAGCACGGCCCCTGCGCAAGGATGACACGCATAAATCGAGAAATGGTCCAAATTTTTCAAAAAAAAGAAAACAAAAAAAAAAGATTAGTTGCCCTCTACTGCTGCTGCAGGGATCAAGCTAAGCCTGTATCTTCCACATCAGCATCAGACGGTCATTATCGCTGTATATAGACTGAAAGCTGCACCAGACACAGCTATAATATGACCGTGCACTCTGTTCGGGGGAAAGACGTTTCCTGGAAATGGAGGCCCTGTCCAATCATCCAATTTTGTTTTGTTCAGTAGCGCTAGCTTAATTCCAATGCCGTCACTTTCTAGTACCCATTGGTGCCGCCTTTCAGGGTTTCCTTAGGGAGCGATTCAGGTCGGTACCTTCGCCAGCCAGCAGCCCCCTATCACTATTCTGACTTGGTTCTGCGTCCGGAGCTTTGAACGCTTAGCCTGTGGAGGGCGGCCATGGCTATGGTGGACCTCTTGTTGTGCTGGCGGTAGAAGAGGAACTCGGACACTCGTTCTGGTTCAGCCATTCACCATCATTATTATTATTATCATTATTTATTATTTGAATGAGAGTGGAGGAGATGAGGAGTAGTAGTTGGTTGGCAAAGAAGGGGGATTTCTCATTGGTCTTTTACATCTTCTACTTCTTCTTTCTTTCTTCTTCTTCTTCTTCTTCTTCTTCTTCTTCTTCTTCTTCTTCTTCTTTACCTCTCTCTCCTCTCAAGTTCATTCATTTCTTTTTGCAATTGGACAGCATTGTACTTTTTTCTGAATTTGCACTTGGAAATTGGCCAGGATCGTAATGGAAACAAAGATATGGTATGCAGGATGCCAATACAAACAACTTTTGCCTTGGAATCATCATGAAATTCCCAGCCAAATTGACTTCAAAAAAAAAAAAAACTAAAAATGACACGGCATACAGGATGCAACACTGGTGACACGGCTGTCACGGTTGCTCGCCCAGACTTCCGACGGCCTGGTCCATCCGGGCAGCAGGAGGCAGCCTATGCAGACCTGGCCCAGACAGGCAGCGAGAGGCAGCGAGAGGCAGACAGCCAGAGGCAGCTCAGGCAGACCTGGCCCCACCAGGCAGCCAGAGGCGGGCCAGATCATAGCCTAGACCCAGCCCACCCTTGGCCCAAACCTGGAACACACCTGGCAGCTAGAGGCATCCCAGCCGCGCCAGATGGTAGCCTAGATCTGGCCTACCTTCTTCCCCCGAATACAACGTACGGTCATTATAGCTGTATCTAGACTGAAAGACACCCCAAATACAGCTATAATGACCGTACGTTGTTTTCGGGGGAAGAAGGTAGACCTAGCTCAGACCTGGCCCAAATGGTACCCCAGAGCTGGCCCACACCGGGCCCAGACATGGCCCAGTCATGTAGCCAGAGGCACCCAGGCAGGCCAGATGGTAGCATAGGTAAGAGCTGAGAAGAAGGAAGTTTGATTGTTCCACATTCAGTTCCCGAAAGAGACCAGAAAAGAGAAAGAGGAGGAGAAGCAGGAAGCAGAACCCATTTAAACCGCTAGTACACGCCCCCAGCCGGCGGCGAATTGTCGATAAAATTTAAACCGCTTTAAACCGCTTGTGGACAATTGCTCGTCACCTGCTCCGGAAGAGTTGGAGCCGGCGGCGCATTGTCGATAAAATATATCAGCGGTTGGCATCGCATTTCGGCCTCCCAAATGGGCCCGCAGCCGACGTATGGCATGTACTGGGGGGTTACGGGCCCAGAAAACATGGATAGCACAGCCATCAAACTCCACCCCCCCACCCCAAACCCAACCCCCCAACCCCCTCTTCCACCGTCCAAACCTAAGAACCAAAAATATGATCAATCAATCGATAGTTAACAAAGGGTCACAAGCTTCCGGCAAAGATGACACACCCGTCAGGAAATCTGACGCAAACCTTGTCGCGAAGGAGTTCCAGCACAGCCATCCCCATCTGCTCCTCCGCCTTTGGCGTCCTTCCATCCCTTCCCAGTCCTCTGCAGATCTCATCCACTGCACGTATTGGGAGAGTGAACTCTCCCGAGGAGAGACCCTCGACCTGCGACATTGACAGGAAGAAATGGACACAAAACCGCTTTGTCAAACGTCTTTTGGTATCGTCACTTAGATCCAGTGATTATATACAGACTATAAAAATAATATACAATGCATAAAACTTTTTGCCCTTCTTCTTCTTCTTCTGTCCTCCCTTTTTTCGAAAGAAACCTACCTATGTGCCTTCTTCTGGAGGTGTGAAGTTCGCATGAACTTAGCCAGTTTGATGACCAGATTCTGTCCTTCCATCCCCTAAACGTCATGAAATGGGAGCAAAGACCATCCGAGTGCCTTCTTCTGGAGGTTGCCCAGTTTGACGACCAGATGCGATCCTTCCAACCTCTAAACGTCATTTTAGCACCAAAAGCACTTAATTCTTTTTCTTCTTTTTTTTCCTTCGTTTTTGAATTCTGTAAAATTTGTCGGTTTATGCGTTTCGTCCTTAGATATGTGCAGGGGGGGGGCCATGCTACTTAATCTTCTTCTCTGTATCGTCCCACTTTTGATGGCTGTCATGTCCCAATGCACCCAAGAGCTCATTCCCTGTGAATGTTCATATTACTTCATAATCAATAAGGAAATAAATAAAAAAGTCCGGAAAAAAAAAAAAAAACTACGTAAAGCACAGTAGAATAGAATGGCCTCCACCTCGTCGTTTTTGGAGAGGCCGGAAGTTCAAAAAAAAGTCCAAAAAACTCTTTAAAAAAAAAAAAATCAGCCGCCTGTAAATTAATGGCCATCATGGCCATGCCAAAGAAAGCAAAACCAAAAAAAAAAAAAAACGAAAGAAGAAAACAAAAACATCATGGCCATCCTCACACTAGGATTTCCCTGGATGTACCTTCCAGCATTTGTGACCACATGCATTTGAGAAAGCCTCCCAGCAGTAAAACAGGGTCAAAATCTGCAGGCACGCAGGCCATCCGCCCCCCCCCCCCCCCCCCCCCCCCCCCCCCC